TCACCACCAAGAATGAAGCCAATGACATATTGTTGAAATTAAAAGAATCTTAGTGTCTCCAGCTTGGTACTTACCGAGTTGTTGATGGCTCATTCAGGATGAAATATGTCAGGACTGAACACAGGTCAGAGAGTCCTGTAACTCCTTATAACCCACAGAAATCTTCCATTGAGAGACTGCGTAAGATTAAAATTGCACATGTATCAGAGAGTAGTGGACATTACTGTGCTTGATTGAAATAAATACTGAATAGTTCCCTTTATGTATGAGAAGCAATACTTTCCAGCTTCCATCAATATGTGAGCAAACTGTGTATTAACTTTATGTGCGTTTTTCATGTTTGTTTAATACTGATAAGCTGCATCTGTAAATAGTTTAAGAATAAAGTGCATTCTGCCTGCTGTTAATACGCAAAGAGCAGCTTCAGTTGCCAGCACTCCTTATTGTGCTGTAAGTGGTCAGTGGACCCTTACATTCATACAAGTACATTTGCACAAACTTTTAGATGCCTACAGCCACACACAGATGTGCCATGTGGATACATTCCCGCGTGTATTCCCACCTGTGTGCATCGCAAGACTTGCATGTACAGCGTGAAGGACGGAGGGGGAAGGTCAGGAACCTGCCTGACTTGGCATCCTTAAGCAGGTTGGTCTGGCTGGCTGGTCCCCAGTCTGTGCCACACGGATCAGGAGAGGTGAGCCGGAATCATGGCCCAGCTGCTGGAGCACACGTGTGCAGGCTGGGCACGCTCTGACGGATGTTGCATTTGGGCCTATATCTCTGGAACATCCTTGTCCTTATCAGGCTAACCCTCTAGCAAGATCAGTGTATATATATATATGTATATATGTTTTTTTTTTTTTCTAAAAGAAACCAATTTTTAGCGTGGTGAAATCCATTACAGATGTTTTTCTACGAGTATGATCCCTACAGCCAGCGCTTAGGTCTGACTGACTCTCCTGCTCGTCATGATATAGTGTCCCTAGAGGAATGTTTGAAAGAGATAACTTTAGGAAGGAAGCATCTCCCAACACGTGGCATTTTGTACTCTCTGCTTCGCAGAAATGACAGCTCACCCTGGCTGAACTCCCGTCCATCAGATGGGCAAGTCCATCCTCACATACTTACCCAAGGCTAATCCCTCAGCATCCTCATGAGAGCCCTCCTTGTGCCGTTAAATAGTACTTGGTGCACAAGACATTTTTGAGCTTTGGGCATTTGTCATGCTATGGTGGATGCCTTGTTTCACCTACCAGAAGGAGCTCTCTCGTCAGTGATTTCTCTTGGAAGAATATTTTCTCATTCTGTATTTTCTCAGAATGACAATGTTTAGCATTTTTTTTTTATCACTCTAGTTTTTATTACAAGAAGTAACTCATTCTGTCTCATGAAACAATCTTGTAGTTTAGCCATGTGGATTATTCCTTTGACAGGTTTATTGCCTTGGTGAATACATTAGTCTCCTGCTCTATATAGAGAGAACATCCCATAGGAGGTAACTATAATAACAGTAATTCCACAGTATTCTTTCAAAACTTCACACATGCAGATGCTGCCGCTGCCTAAAAATAATAGAGAGTGATCGACAGTATATTTTTCATAGCTGTTTCTCTTGTAGAAGGGAAAAGTGAGGCCCAGTGAGTTGCCTTTTAATAGGCAGCAAAGTGGTGGGCCTCCGTAAACAGCTATCCCAGATGCAACAAAGTGCCCTTTTCATTTCTGTCCATTGCCAAATATGCCAAGAAAATGTAGTGGGTATAAATACCATTCACCTTCTTTGTCCAGGAAATCCCACAGATGTTAATGGAGGAGTTCAGGTGATCATTCGACTTCCCAAATTAGCTCTGGCAATACTGCTGTTCACCTAATTTAGAAAATGTTATGAAACTCTCTTTGTAACATTGCACATAGGTGTTGAATAGGAGGAAAGTTGAGTATTCAAGCTGTCATTGCTTGGACTGTTACACTCCTATAAAAAACAGGATACTAATGAAGATTAAAAAAAAAATAGAGAATCTATTAAAAAGGAGGAATTGTAAGGAGAAAAGGTATTTTCCATGTTGGTGAGTGCCGTGTTCGCTCTGCACAAGGCTGGCTGCAGTGGACGAGCTGGTGCTATGTGGGCTGCAGGCTCCTGGGCGATGGGAGGCAGGGTCCCCGTGCAAAACCACCTCGGGAGGGTCCCGAGAGCCTTCCCGCAACTGGGCTGGATAACAGGAGGGAGCCACCGGTGCATTTCCAAGGTGGTTTTTCAGTTAGGCCAAGTCCAAAAGGAAGGGAGCTGATTCTGAGTTGCTCAACTACATGTCAGAATTTCTTCATGCCTGCAAACCAGGGGATGGGAAGGCTTCTGTCTTTAAGGGAGGCTGAATTGACATGTAGGTGACATGGAGGGGAATGGGGAGACCTGCAGGATGAATGTTTCTCTGATTCTCAAGGACTTGTTACTTTGCAAAAGCTTGTTATGTTTGTTCTTAAAAGAACTTGCCCTGGGAACAGTGAGGCTCCAACATTTCTGCTTTGCTTTTTGAGTTTAATTTTAAAGTTTTCTTCTTTGGAAAAGCTGAGAAGTATTAACAAAAATAATATCTGCTTAATGTTGACTTGCACAAGAAGGGCTGTTGTGTAATTAAGCCTGCTGAATTTGTGTTCATTTGCACTAATCTAATTATTACTTTCTTTAAATGCTCTACTGTGAGTCAGAATAAAGTAGTGCTGGATTTGAGAACCACAGAATGTGAAAAGTAAGCAAAACTGAAACAAGACTTTTGTGCATCTTTTGAATTTTTTAAAAGTATAGCAAACTTTGGGTAGAAGTAATACTGCAAATGGATTTAAGAAAACTGCATGGTTCTGCTTTTCAGCATGCTTTCCACTGATTTATAATGGCAGGTTAACACGTGCAACGCTCGTGCCTTCAGAGGTTCGGGGATGATAAAACGTCAGCCCTTGTGCATCTGCAGCAAACAGTCCATTAGCCAAAGGAACTGAAACTGTAACATTAAACGCTATGGTGTCTTTTTAAAATGAAACATGATATTGCATAGACTGTTTTGAGTTTCTAAGGATACAGCAACCAATTACTTCATTTTCAAAAGAAACCAGTGCACATTTGCAGTAACCATTATGAAAAAATAATATTCTCATATGTAGTGCTGTGCTTGAAACAGCTGCACTTCTTGAGTGTATAGTACATGTAGAAATACAAAAGTGCAATAAAATGTGCCTGTCTAATTGCTTTAAGCAGCCATTCCTTTTCATGTTACATATCTTGGCAATAGGTAGGGTGAGTCTTGGTCTGTTTGATGTTGGCTATGGTGTTTAAACTTACAAAGACTAGAGTATAACATATATTCACATTTTTCAAAGAGAAATGGTGGTTGGGAGGTGTATAATTCTAATTTTATTTGCCAGAGAAGGACACCCAGGCAAATGCTAAATTTGTCCACCAAACCCAAATTTTGCATGTATAAGGCACAACAGTGGAAACTAATGTGTTTTATATATCCCACATTTAATTTTCTGTTTCTTTTTTTCTCAGTCAAATCCTTCCAACCTCTTTGAGTTCGTTCCATTGCCAAGTATCCATGGCTATTGTTGTACATGCTTACATGTAACTGGAGTTATTCCAACCTGAGCAGACAGCAAATTTTTCCTATCTGTGTTTGTTTTTCATTTTCACACATGCATGTGCTGTGATAGTTATGTGTCTATGGGATTTGCACACTGGAGGAAAGCATCTTTATTTTACAGAAATATTTTCTTTGTGGCATATACCCAGAGCCCACTTACATGTCATATAATCTGTCAATACTCTTCTGTCACTAATATATGTATATATTATATATATGTATGTATGTATATATGTAGGGAGAGACATTGATCTTTGAGCTTTGTAATGCTTCAAAATACAGTTCAAAATATCATTGTTTTTCAAATTTTAACACCCTGAACAAAGATTTAAGTATGAATTTGACGCACTGAAACAAACAGAAACTGTGTAAAACTTTGCTCTAATAATTTAGATACAGGATTCTTTTTAACAGAACTGTTTCTCATTGGTGTGTGCTCTGTGCTGCACTGGAGAAGGCACTGGCTGTTCCCTGAGCATTTTGCAATATTAGGTCTTGATCCTGCACATCGTAATGGTGATTGGTCTCAGTTTAAGTGCAAGGTTAAAAGTAGCAAGTGGAATAAGGAAGCTCAGGGGAGCTCTCTCCTTGTAATTGAAAGTGTGGCTGGACACTGCTAATATATCAGTTGCATAGCAGGCATAATGTCACATAGCAAAGAGCATAAGTAGGCACCTCGTTTCCAAACCAGATTGTTTTCAGAAATCTATCTCTGTAAATGTTTCCCCTCTCTCCACTTTTTTTTTTTTTTTTTTTAAACCACTCATTCTTGAGGAGTAAAAGGTGCAACAAAGAAGAAATCTTACATTCTTATTTCTTCAGTGCCTTGCACTTTGCCTTAAGGAACCCGTAGATAGTAGGTGTTTGGCTTTAATCTGGAGCCAGGAGCTTTTGGCTCAATCCAACCCACTACAATTTGCAGGATTAAGGCCTAAAGGGACAAAGTGTCTCAAATAAGGGGACAGAATGAGTACATAAGTAAGTGAAAAATGACTGGTTCTTCAAGTGTCCTTTCATAGAATAACTCTATGGAGGCGTCTCACAATGGCTTTTCTTGTCTTTTCTTATTTATTTGGTGACAGAAAAGTTACATCTTCATCTCTTCCCAACACCATTGTCAATTTGTAATATTAGCATGCCTGTTAAATTGCTGATGAGGCACCCACTGTGAAGGCACTTACATTTTTATATTACATTTTAATATGGGCTTATTGCAGCAATGTACCATTGAAGATGAACTGGAGTAGCATGGCAGCATGCAGAGCAATGACTCACGTGGAGGCCTTGCCATGGGCATTCCTGGGGGAAGCGAGACTTGAAGGAAGGGGCTGTGGGAGATGCTCACATGGGGTCTTTGCATTGCAGTGCTGAAAGGTGGAGCACTTGATGGAGTTTACAGGCTGGTGCAGTTTCACATTCACTGGGGATCCTGTGAGGGCCAAGGATCGGAGCACACTGTGGATGGTGTCAAGTACGATGCAGAGGTAGGACATGCTTTGCCTTCTTCCCTCTTCTTTGTGGTATTYATATGTTTTTTTCTTTTAATCTTCCACTGTGGTTGCAGCAGCCCTGGAAATACTGATTGGCCAGAGACTGGTGGTGGGTATGGGGGAGTTACCATAGGAGACTGGTAAAATGGTACCTCAAAAGCTCCCTCTTCCATGAGCAGAGTTTAGAAATGTAGCACTCCTAAGTTTTTCTCAACTACTTCATATCAAAGAAACAAGCAGAGAAGCCCACCATAAACCTGTTATTTTCCTGCTTTCTCAATGATTCCTGAAAATTAAAAATGTTTTACAGTAGATCGTTTTATCTTTTGATGACAAGGAAGGGGGGAGAAAGGCAGGTAGTCAAGTGTATACCAGGGTGGCACTGTGGCTGACCTCTTTGAATATGTCTCTGCATATTCCTTGGGCTCCTTAAGACTGTATTACAGTGTTAGTGCAGAAATTGTGTGACTTTAGTGACACAGTCCCACTCTCACATTTTAGAAATCTAGCAGTGACACTTTTTAACCCTTACAGCAAATGCACAATTTGACTGAACACAGTTGTAATTTGCATTGATGAATAGAAGTGACCCTACAAATTCACCYGCTTTGCTGTTTTTCCATGAGATAAAAATATCTTTTATCACCTCCAAGAAACTTGCCATCACTTTATATCTGCTCACAGTGTTACAATGACCTGCTCAATTTGACTTGAAAATACCAATAGTACCAATTGATACTTCATAGTACTAATTGTTTTCAATTCAAAGAAGATGGAATAGCAAGATCAAATAAACTTTCAGAGGAGGAAAAAAATTCTGTTTTCATTTTAATTAGAAATAGTTGGAGAACTGAAAAGAAAGGAACATCCTGGCTAACATGACCTGGAGATTCTTTTCTCTTTTCAAAGATTTTTCAAGAAAAACACTGTTTCTTAAAAACTCTCTAGACTGCAGGTGAGAGCTCTAGAGGCAGATGTTAATGCCTGACATTATTTCCCTGACACTGGACAGACATGTCTTTCAGTATTGACAAGAACTCCAGAATACATAACATTAAAATGCTGTATCAAAGTCTGGCAGACTGTGTGCATGGAAGGCTCGTATTGAAGATAACAGGAGTTTCGCGAGCCTGAAAGGAAAAGGATATAGCCCACAATTTGCATTCAGAACTCATTTTGAAATAAGAGTAAGAAGTAAAATRTAATGCATGACATAAACCTTTTTGCATAAATGAAACCTGAAAGTGGATGAATGATTCAACAAATTCTTAATTATACACAGAACTTTTAAAATCCCATCAGTAAAACACCATCTGCTGTTAATGTTTAATAAATGACTCTCTTGCATCCTCATTTGTGAAATATTAYGGATGGAATGTATTCTTCATAGTGCTTCTTGTTTCTTTTCTCCTAGCTCCACATTGTTCACTGGAACACAAAATATGGTAAATTTGCTGAAGCTGTGAAGCACCCCGATGGCTTGACTGTGGTAGGCATTTTCATGAAGGTGAGTGCAATCCTTCTCCATATTATTTGGATTAGTCCAGTATGTTCACTTTGTTGCTGGGGGGCCTTAGAGCGTAAAATATAAAGTCAGTATTATGCTATGTATTATGCTATACTGTATAAACTATACTGAGCAAACTAGATGATTTTTCAGATTCTTAACTTTTTCATATTGCTGGTGGTATGTAACTGCCTTCCATCCGTGTGGCTGCTCAGTATACTTGCTTCCATCATGACAGTGGTACTGTGTAACTCTTGCAGTAAAAGATCATGTGCATAGCTCCACAGTTCTATATGTATGGGTATTTAGGACAGGCCTAAATAACCTCTCCTCTCCTCTCCTGGCATTGTTAAATGCCCAAATTATTTTGTCTTGGTTGAATTATCTTCACAACTGGCTGAAGAAAGTGACTGTGTGTCGCACTGTGCACTCTCTTTTAGCATCAGTGTGTTTTGTCAGGAGGGTGACTTCTACGAAAAAAGAATGACTTAAGTCCAAAAATAAATCCACATACTGTAAATTAAAATGACTTTATTCTGACCACTGTCCTTGGCTGACCTGCCTGTGCTGTCAGCTGGCATGTCTTTAAAGGGCCAGTTTCAGTCCCTTTGCTGTAGTACTGCTGCTATGTAAGGAATGGGTCCTGTGAAAATGTACTATAAAATGTTTCCTCAAAAAATGTGACATGGTGCGAGAGTGCAAGCTTACTTTTTTTTTTCTGTGGTTTGTATTACAGGTGGGAAATGCCAAGCCTGAAATCCAGAAAGTTGTTGATGCTCTGAAGTCCATTCAGACCAAGGTAATGAATGTTTCAATTGCCCCATTGCACTCATGTTGTATCTTCTCCAGAAAGTGTATCTTCTGCTTCTCCTCAGTCTGTTAGATCTGTTTTGCTTTATRAGAGTAAAGCAAACCTTGCTGCTATCAGCACTGATGCCATTGCACTCTGAAATGCAGAACTGATTCAGATGAAGGGAGTACTCCAAAACTGTGATCATTTTATCTGATCATTTTATCTCTGTGACTGCATTTATCTGTCTTTCAGTTGCATTTGTCTATAGCATAGCATGATCTGAACTGCTCTTCCAAGCACCCGTTTTAGTCAGGAGCAAGAAAGAGGCAAAGTGTACCTATGGGATAAATTTCTTTCTGGAAATATATCTCTTCTGGCTGTTTTGCTAGGAGAGTCCTTGTGAGATGTTTGAACAGGTTTAAACCTTTAAGAGGAAAAAACACCCTCCCTGTGAACAGCTTCTCTATATTTTTAATATTGTGTGCAATATGTATGTGATCTTAGTCTCGTAAGAGACTACCACTACCAGCCAAGTGTGTGTATGCCACCTAGGACTTTATCTCCTTCCTTTATTGCAGGGGAAGCAAGTTTCCTTCACAAACTTTGACCCTACTGGACTGCTTCCTGCCTCCAGAGACTACTGGACATACCCTGGCTCACTGACCACCCCTCCTCTGCTCGAGTGTGTGGTCTGGCACGTCCTGAAGGAGCCCATCACCGTCAGTCCAGAGCAGGTAGGTCTCCAATAGCAGACTGTCGCCAATAGATTTGTGTTGGCATCACACTGATCGTGCTGACTTAGCACAGAGGTGATCTTTCTCTTATGTTACTGCCGAGCTACATGGAGTATTAGCTAGTGTCACAGGTCAAAAATATATAGCTAAAGTGGTTATCTGTTTTTGGCACGACTTGTGCTTGTGGAAGTAAGTTTTCTGTAACATGTAAGGCTGCCTGTTGTTTGGACTATTCCCCAGAAAAAACAAAATGAGGATTTAAATAACATAGGATTTCTAGATACAAAGATCATTAGCTGGAGCTGTCATGTAGTAAAAATATRGGAAATGTATACAATGTATGAAAAAACCCTTTATGTGGCACATGTATGGTAAGTCTTACATGTATTTTAAGCATCAGCAAGTTTGTTCTGCACACACAGATCACCTRTCCAGATACACATAAAAAATTACTGGGTTTACCAAGCATGCAAAGAGCATTTATTCATCATCTGCAATGCACATTCTGTACATCCGTAGGTGTTTGGTAGAGGTACCAGATCTTCCAGCATTTCCAGGACACACAGAGCTTGTTGTACAGGGACTTTTCAGCCCAGAAASAGTCTGGGGAATCCCACAGCATTCTGGCAACCCTAACAAAACTATGTTGTTGGAAAAGAGAAACCTTGCAGAGTCCAGAATTCTGTCTGCTGTATAAAATGGAATTAACACTATTCTAGGGAACTTATTCAGCTGATATGAAAAAATGCAACTGATCTGTTCCAGGGCATAATAAAAAATGAATGAAGAGGCTGAACTACTGAAAATAAACCTAATTTATAGCAATGATTGCTATTAAAAACCAGCATCTTCTAAGGGAGCCTTAAAATTGATGCCATTTATTTATTTTATACTATTGGTATTGTTATTGATAATCCAAGGTATACAAGTATACTTTTATACCAGGCAGGGTATGGGGTATGAACGTGCCCCAGGGCAGGGGCATGTTCATCAAAGTAGAATTGTTTGATCCTTTCACCACCTATGGGCACTAGTTGTTTCTCTCACGTGCACCCCTTCACACTACAGTCGTCTTTTCAAAACAGTGTATGCGGCAGCCTGACTTTTCATTCCCAAACTGATCAAAATAAGAAGCCATAAAGCAGAGTATTACCACTGGATTTAAGCTGAAATGGATTTTGAAAGACAGGGCACAGCAAGCCCGTTATCGTGAGCTATATCAGCATAGCGGTTGTCAGAAGAGGTCGAGCTCTGCACTTTGTTGCAGTCGTTTCCCGAAGGTTAGGCCTCTCCTGAGCTGGCCAGTGGCCATCCTCCTGGGATAACACAGCCTGTCTTGCACCTGATGCTCAGCAGCCTGTATCCCTCCTACCTATTTCTGTTGGCTGTGTGAAATCACATTTGGAGCAGGTTATTATTTTGACACAATCTCTTTTTTTATTAGATTCCTAGCTTAGACATCAAGATGGTTATATGATGTTTTATGACTCTGTAAATGGCAATTTTACTTTAGGAACAAGCACTAGAACCTTATGGAAAGCCTCCTATAGAGATTAAAGAGTTTTAATCTCCTATAGAGATTAAAGAGTTTTAATTTGTACCCAAGGATTAGGTCAATTTTATTTTATAATATTAAGTGCCCCAAAAAAAGCCAATTGGGGATGTTTGTGCTTTCTTCACAGATGTGCGCAATCCGTGGCCTTTGCTTCAATGCCGAGAACGAGCCCGTGTGCCACATGGTGGACAACTGGCGCCCGTGCCAGCCTCTGAAGAGCAGAGAAGTTCGAGCCTCATTCCAGTAACCTCAGTGCTGAGCGTCTTAGAGATCAAGTGCGTTTGTGAGGAGCCCCTCTTGCTAAGCACAATTCAAACCTTTGCCATGTGTGCCCTGGCAACATCTTGTCTCCTAGATCCGTTCTTTTCCTCTCTGCATCCGAAATGCTAAGGAAATGGGAAAGGCTCTTGTCCGAACAGGAAAGGGGTTCTTAGCGCGGGGCTGGGGGAGCTGGGGTGGAACGGGGAGGCTGGGTGTGTTTTGGTGACTCTGGCTGCAGTTGACGCTGGTCTAGCAGTATGTTGGCTCTTTGGGAGAGGATATGCTATGGGTAGCAAAATAAGCCATGTCAGAAACCTCATCCACATACATAGTATTCACAACTAACTTGGTAACTTGAAGCTTTGACGAAAGCACAGGGATACAGAATACAGCTATGACTTAGGAAAAAAAGGTGTTTTGAGAAAAAAAGCAAGGTGAATATTGAGAATTAGACTTCTTAGATTTTAAGAAACTGACATGTAAATATTTTTAAGATTGTTTTACATTTTTACCCATGCTATCAACAACCTCAAATATGTCTTAATGGTAGTGTGTTGGATTTTTTAATTAAAGAAGTCCTAAATTAAATACTATCTTTGCAAATTGTTATTACTGTAGAAATAATACGAAGTATCTTTTCATTGAAATAATATATGCTCTAATTTAAAAAGGAAAATAATATTGTATTTTAGATAAATTCTCTAATAAAACTATACTTATACTTTGGCTTCCAAGTTGTTACTTTAATTCAGGAAAAGAATTCCTGATCTGTTCATATTCTTGTGTATTAACCATAATTAGTAAATATGCAGTATACAGAGGATCAGTTTCAATGATGCTGAAGATGAATGCAAACCTAGGGTATGTTTGGGAATTTTCTGTGAGTTTCTCTGTGAGAGACAACAGAAAGAAATACTCATTTTGAGCAACCACTGCAAGTTGCTGTCAAAGTTGAGTGCATGATAAAAAATCTGTTCACAAGGATGTTGAGTGAAATCATACAGAGGAACGAGCTGCTTTGATGTGGTCGCTTGAGAACTGCCCTTTTGTGACAGCCCAGAAGCCAAGTGCACCATGTTTATGCAGAACAGTTACCCAAACCACTTCTCTAACAAGATCAAATCTTTTAATACTGTGTATCCAAAGCTTGGGTTTTTTTAGCTTCACAGTAAGGCATCTCTATGAATTGTTTTAATAGAGAATCTGCTTGCAATGACTTCCATTGCTGGATCTCTGTTAGCTGTTTTCTTGTGCYTTCCTTAATACATATTCAGTCAGTATCTAAATATATATGAGATCTAAATACACAGGATCCAAGCAAACCTGCAAGGGACTGCCCTCCTTCCTCCACTCCTGGCCATCATGAGAAAAATGGTCTTCAGATCTCTCTTCTGACTAGATTCTGATGTGAGATTAAGGTTTTGGTGCTAAATTGTAAGGCATTTAATTGATGACACATGACTGATCCTGCCACTGATCCTGCCACATCAAAGTTCACTTTGTAGTCTGTAAGAGATCAGCTGGGCAGGCTACATCCTGAAGCTCTTGGGATCTTGAAATGTATGAGATGGGAGTGAATCACTTTTAGCATGAGGGTAGCCTTTGTATCCAAAAATCTCCAGGAAATTCTGCCAGATCTGCCTTTTTGAAAAGCTTYCCACTGGTTTAAAGAAAAGAAAACCAAACCAAAAACATTTGCTTTGGGTGCCTGTCTCTTTCCAAAATTACTGTTGTGGTTAATTTATATCCTTGATGTTGTATAGCTTGCTGTATACCTTTCYGGCTCCTAAGTGTCATCTGGAGGCCTGACTTGCGCACCTAGGTCCCTTAAACACCATAGGAGCAGTTACACCTCTAAGAATGAGCCAGTGCAGCGTGGCTTGAGCTGCTGACACAAGCCAAGAGGAAACGCTATACTTAAGGACTTGTGTCCTGCTTATTTCAGCAGGTAGCATCGTTTTGCTGCAGGGAGGTCTTGTTTCCAGTCACAGACACTAGGCTCCTTCCTGGAATYGCACGTGTATGCCAGCATTACTCCCAAAGGCTGCAACCCTGTTCTCTTCTTAAAGACTACCAGTTATGGCAGTATTAAAAAATGTTAGAACACCAGATTTTCAAATCCCTCATTTCTCCTGATTACAAGGTAACAGAGCTTGCTGAGCAATGGTATTCTCTGATAGTATCCACTATTGTATGATAGAGAACAGGAACTTCTGCCCTGGCTCAGGTAAAAAACTGGGAATGTCTGTGAAGTTCTATCCACTGCTGCAGTTAAAAGTTTCATGCATAAAACTCAAATACTAATTGAAGTCATGGCCTGAACCAAGCCCTGATCACTGCTGAAATTCCAGTGTGAAGGCTTGGGTGCCTTTTAAATGTTAAGCCAAGCACTATCTGTTTCTAACCTAGGTGTTACTGTGAAAATTGGAAATCCATGTCTGCATCCAATGACTAGTTCAGTCTTTCGTATTATACATTCTTTGTAGCATGGACTGGTATTCCATTCTCCCCAAAAAGCTCTTCTAATTTGTCAGGCAAAGCACTAGCAACAGTAGTACCGATTCTATTTGTGAACCCTCCTGGCATGGTCCTTTCCACAGACTCCCAAGCAGTTGCCCCGAGGAGATGATGAGGAACAGAAGAGACCATAACTCAGGTGCAGAGGTACAAGGACAGCTGTGGAATGTGCCCTTGGGACAAGTCCGCCCAGTTACTGGACTGACTCCAGTATGGGTGAGGTAACAGGGAACAGCTCTTGCATCTCTGCTGCTTACACGAGTGAGGATGTAGCTTCTCCAGGTCAACGTGAGGGTTCACACAGAACCAGAGCACTGTGGTTGTTAATCATTTTTAACTAACGTTTTTCCCCTTAGGGTGTGTGGGAAAGTAATCATGCCTGTAATGAAAGAAGGGACAACTCAGTTTTTGTAGCCATCCATCATCATTGTAGGCTGTATCTATCAAGCCTTTTTTTTTTTTCCATTATATCAAAAAACATCTCACCAAGGCAGAAACTTCAAGTATGATTTCTGAAAGAAACTGGCTGTGAGAATCGGGTGTAGCTTGCACAGAAACAGCCAAGTAGTTTTGAAAATCCAGCTCCATGTTTTTTTACTTGCTCTGACGTACTCCTATCACACTTCAAGGTTGCACCAAAAATGGTAAGTAACAGTAAGCAATGACAACCAACATAAGCCATGTATTTATCATCTTGTTTGCATGAGCCTGTTTACCTGGACTGTTGCCAGTAGCATATGTTTGCTGAATAGAAGGTACTTTTATACTCAGCCCGACAACRTGCAAGCTGGTATTTATGTCATATATATGGCATACATGAAGAGCTTGCTGAACTTCTTACCTATAGATTCTAGCAGGGAACTTTGCTTTTTCTTTTTTTTTTCCTTTCTTTTCAAGTGAAGAAAATTTGAGATCTCCCTTTCCCTGCAAATCACCTCAGAAACTCTTTATAACATAAAATGATATATGGGCTGTTCACAAACGCACACTTTGCATTTAGACTGTAGCACAATGTACATCTGTTTCAAGGAACATTTATTTGCTAAGGCCAACTTAGAGATAAAGAAAACAGTTTTCCTGGCATTTGTGTAGTTTCCTGAATGACAGGTTTGATCAAGATGAAGTTGTATGTAACCATCCAACTCTTCTTCCTGACCTCTGTTCTCCTACATTATTTGCATATATGAAGAGGTTATAATTATGTTTTGCAATTCTTCATAGCAGACTTTAAACCACCACCCATTCTATTATCGCAGTTTCACCTACTTCATCTGAAGAATTATTTTTAAATTCATGATGAGAAAAAAGAGACCACCTGGATCATGAACCAGAAGTTGGCTTTTCATGCACTGTAGGCAACTGTATTATTGCCAAGTAGATCTGATTAGAGGGCAATTTATTTAGAAGAGAATGAAAGAAGGCTAGTGTGTTAATGCAAAGTCATACTAAGATACTAGGCTACCACTTTGATAGAGGAGAGAAGCTGGTTCACTTGCGAACTGTTTATTTTGCACAGTTTGTGATCTTGTCTCTCACTTGTCTGACAGCTCCATGTGTTAGAACATTTTAGGATTTCTCCGCTGCTGTTTCTAAGGATTGGACATGTCCTAGATTGACATGGGCAAGTWGACTGTGATTAGAGATGCTTCCAGGTGATTAAGTAATAGTGCCCTACATGAAGTCAGCAATGTTTATAGAAGTCAGGACAATATGTAGAAGATTATCATTCASTAGATGACAGCTTTAGGATTTTCTAACTCTTCAAAGAAAAGCCATGGTGAGCAGCAGCTGTTTCAAATCTAATGTTGTAGAAGCAAGCACAGATAAAAGTATGAGCAATGGATTTATTGAAAGATTCCCATGGCCCCTCTAGCATAAGCCACTTTCAAGCCATACTGCCACACACAGTCACATAGCACCTGGTTGCTTACTGTGTGTATTTGATGTATTTTCAGACTATTTGGCAACCAGACACTCCAGTACTGTCCTTCTTTCTCTTTCAGTATGACAGGGATGGGTCAAAGAGCAGCTCTGCTGCCTCCGCTCCACGGTTGGTTCTCGCAGGTTCGGAAGCTCCCCAGTCACCAACTCCATAAAAGTATGAGGCAAATGATGTATTTGCAAACCATCATGACACCATTTCAGGCAGTGAATGCAGTGCTGAGGCTTTTAAGAAGTCCCTACCTGATTTGGCACTAACAGATGCACTATTTTTTTTTTCTCCAAGACATGAATCTATGATACTATGAACTAAAGCTAGTTAGGACATATCTATATCCCACAGCAGATTACAATGCAGTATTGTCTAAGCTGTCATGTCCACCAAACAGAGAGCTTTTTTGGATCATCCTTTCAGAGCCCAAAGCAGCATGACTATGCTAACTGAGTGGACAGACCCAGATTTTCAGCAGGGCTCAGTGCTAACATGGTGTAGCTGTGTTGCTTCTAGTCCTAGAATGGAGTTGGTTTTGTTCAGCTAGGCTATAATTGCACCATATTACACAATGCTTAGATATCCTCAGGACATTTTGAAAAAGGCAATATCTAAGGACTATTTTTATAATGTTGCATTGTGTGAAGCTTTGTATATGTGTATGGCAAGAGACAATCACTATTCTTTCAGGCTCACACTGAAACAGAGAAGAACTACAAGCAACCAGAGCAGAGAGGAGGATGTTGAATACATATTTTTTCTTAAAGGATGAGTTTTAATGAATCTTGCAACATTATTAAGGATTCAAAAATATGGAAATTTTGCTGTCTCTGAGACAGAGGCCTCCTTCTAGTGGAGAAGCTCACCTCACCAAAGGGAAGGACATCCTGTGGGACTTGGTGCTAAGATGTCCTATGGGTCAGGGTAAAAAGCAGACAGAAACCTTTGTCTGCAGTGGTCCCACAGATGGTGCTTCTGGGATGCATGACAGGATGCTGAGGCTGATGGTTTCACAGAGTGCAGGGCAAGACTCTGTTTTTCTGGACACTCTCTAGAGTGTCTCTCTAGACATTGACCTGCTAAAAGTGAGGTTCAAGCAACCCTCTCACTCCAGAGAGCAAAGCACCAGTAATCTTCTACCGCCTTCTCCGTAGCACGGGAGGACTTCAGCTTCATGGTTCATCAATGTAAGTTCAACCCCAAGCCCTCGCCTACCCCCAAGCCTGGCCTACCCTATAAAGGATGCTTAGTTGATCATG